CTTTTACTCAGCTTCGGTTGCCGGAGCCGGAGCCAAGCCAAATATATAGTCTCAGAAGCTCCGGTCCGGAGCCGGCTCCGACCATGGAGCCTAATTTTAGCTCCGGACCGACGCTGGCTCCGGCCATGGAGCCACATTTTAGCTGTAGACCGGAGCTAGCTCCGACTGCAGAGCCTAATTTTAGCTCCGAGTTCGGAGCTAGCTACAACCTGGAGCCCAATCTGGGGCTCCGGGCCGGAGTTAGCTCCAACCGTTGAGCTAAATTTTAGCTCCGGGCCGAAGCTAGCCTCTACCTGGAGCCCGATCCGTGGCTCCGGCCCGGAGCTAGCTCCGACCGTGGAGCCTAATCTTGACTCCAGGCCGGAGCTATCTGCAGCCTGGAGCTCGAGCCAGAGCTCCGGCCCGAAGCTAGCTACAACCATGGAGCCTAATCCTGGCTCCGGGCCGGAGCTAGCTCCACCCTGGGAGCCCGATTCGGAGCTAGCTCCGGACCCCTGCCTTGGGCGGATCCTAATCAGATTCCGTCTGGTGCAACATGTCACTCGCGTTGAAGCTGTGGGGAGCGTTGACACTTGACCTGCCGCGCCGCCACCACCGTGTTGCGCAAAGTTGCCAGATTATGCGGTAAAATGTTTTCTATATCACACGGACCTAAATGGAAAATTGCTGATTTTTCAGCAATATCTGGCAACAATGTTGTTGCGTCGCGTATTCGAGAACAAGGATGAACTCCCGTCTCTTGCCGGCAGAGACAATTTATTTTAGAGACTCCGCGTCCACAGTTTAAGCAATGCAATCGAGGGAGGCAAAAGTTATATTGGAGCTCAACGCCACCTCTTGCCGAATGATGACTGATGAGCAACGTCTATTTTTTTTTTAATTTCGTAAAATTCTCCTACTTTTACCCACTTTTCCAGACCGTATTCAATTTCCTAGAGATTCCCGGTTTACCCGGTTTTCCGGACTTGTTTAATTGACCTGAAACCAGGCCTAATTAATGGTAATCGCTGGTAGGAAAATAACTGATGTGACTTGTCCCTTTCTTTCCTGTACCTTTATCATGCCGTGTAGAATTTGTTTTTGGATTTGGGCAGAAATGAAATATGAGAATATAATGAGAAAGTAACTAAGCCACATTAGCAATCGCCAAATTTAACCGGGCAATTTAATTTTTTACAAGAGCACGTTCGTGCGGATTCCTTTAAGAATTTCAAGGAATTTGTTTCGTACTTTGCAGACAATTCACTGAAATTTGCACAAAAATCCCCACAACCTCCATGTAAAAAAATTAAATCGTCCAGTTCAATTTGGCATCCGCTAACGTGACTTGGTTCCTTTCTGCTTAACGCGGTCCATTTTTGGCTTAAATTATTTTTATTTTTACCCATTGTTTGACTATTAAAATGCTCCTCGCACTGACACGAGTCTAACTTCTTTTGTTTTTCTGTTCGCAGGTGCCGATTACTTTTTTGGGCGTAAATGTCTTGTAATCTTAGACGATGAAATTTTGTTGAAGGCACCTCATCATCGTCGTCGAGGTACCACTCGCGACCGCAAATAAAATGATGCCGCCGGAAAATGGTGTAGATGGATTCGATCCTGACAGGACCGAGGTATTGATTAAACAAGAGTTTATCGGATCGGACGAACCAAGCGCATCCTCGCAGGATGAACCTGATGACTGTCCGGGAATCGCCCGGCAACTTCATCAGGTCAGGAAATTGGGGGAAAAGTCAGGGAATTTGCCTTTCTTCAAAGCTGAGGCTGACGAATTTTTATTTGATGAGAAAGCTGGGGTGGTAAAGCCACATATTGCTGACCTGGTGTCGCAACTTCCAAAAGGTGAGGATGGTCACTCGTCTCTCGATGAATCTGTTGCAGTAGAAGAGCAGCAAAATACTTCTTATGCTGCTGACCTTGTGTTGCAGCCTCCAGAAAGCGAGGAGGGTAATGCGTTACATGATTACTGTGCCTCACTATCAGAGCTGCACGAAAAAACTCTTGTCGAAAACCACGTGTTGCAGCATACTGACAATAATGGTCATTCATTGCATGGTGAATATACTTTAGGAGCTGAGCTACAAAGAAATTTTCATGTCTCTAACCATGTGGTCCACACGACGGAAGCTTTATTTAGCGAAGATAGGCATTTTTTACTGAATGAGCGAACCGTAGCACCAGAGCAACAAAATAATCCTCATATTGCTGAAAACATGGTACAATTTAAGCCTGATTTGAGTGACCGGGACGAGAACTCTTTCGGAGCAGAATCGGAAATTACTCTCCCGGTCCTCCAGGTGAAGGAGGAATATATCGATCACCCGATCGATACCGTGCGGGTCGATTCATTACACAGTCACAACGATATCAAAGACGAGCCCTTGTCGTTTTCGTTTGAGTTTAAAAGCTTCCCTGAGAGAGATATTATTACTTATGATTCGGACAACACTAAAGCGCAGAATAATGATATTACACCTGATCACACAGAAATTACATCTGAGTGCATACTTCCTGATACCGTAAGTGATGCCATTCAGGATGTGATTGATTCGCCCGTCATCAAGCAGGAAACACAGTCGAGAACAAATTACATCAACCATCGAAAGCTACTTTACGTGGCTCTGGTGGATCTTTTCCCGGATAAAATCCGGAAGCGTGGAGGAGCCCATACGAACAATTTCCCCTGCTCTTGTACTTATTGCAAGTTGCCTTTCATCTGCAGGTACTGCCCCGTTACCTTTAAACGACAGGCTGACTTGAACCGGCATATCCTGACGCACACCTCCGAACGGCTTTTCGTCTGCAACGAATGCCCGGCCGCCTTCAGACAACGAGGGCACCTCAACAGGCACTCCCTCACTCATACCGGCGAAAAACCTCACCGCTGCAAGCTTTGCCCGTACGCGTTCAGCCAGGGTGCTTCACTGACGAGACACATGCAAACTCATCGCGGAGAGAACCCCTTCACCTGCAACCAGTGCTCCTCCTCTTTCAACCGAGCGGACATCTTGAAGTATCACCAGGCGCTCCACACTAACGGGAAGCTTTTCACGTGCAACGATTGCTCCTTTACAATCAATCGGAAGGTGAACTTGAGAAAGCACATGAAAGTCCATCATGGCCAACAACCGAGCGGCTTGGACAAAAACTCGCATCATGACCAAAAACCACACAGTTGCAACACCAATCATGATCCACCATCAAATCATGATCAAAAACCACACAGTTGCAACACCAAGTCTCCTCGTGACCAAAACCCCCGCATTTCCAACATGAAAGACACGAAAACAATGAATTCTCGCAAACCCTACAGTTGTGACTTATGCTACGCGTCCTTTAAGAACGAGTCCCTTCTGAAGAGACACTCCGAGACGCACAACAACGAGAAACCCTTCTTCTGTACCTCCTGTCCCGCCTCTTTTAAGAGGAAAGGCGATCTGGTGTACCACGCAAGGATACATACTGGCGAGAAACCTTACCGTTGCGACCAGTGTTCCGCCTCCTTCAACCGGAGCAGCAACCTCCAGTCCCACATCCGTTTGCACAGTGGCAAGAAGCCTTTCAGCTGCGGGCACTGTTCCGCCTCCTTCAGCATCAAGCATACTCTCGAGCGACACTTGCTCAGCCACACCGGGGAGAAGCCGTTCCGTTGCCAGGAGTGCTCCGCCGCCTTCGGGAGGCGCTGGAGTCTAACGCAGCACATGCGCATTCACACCACGGGCAGGAGGCCGTTCGTCTGTCAACAGTGCTCGGCCGCCTTCTCGGAGAAGACGAACCTGCGGGGGCACATGAGGGTGCATGCGGGGAAGAAGGAACATCAGTGCGACCGCTGCTCCGCCTCCTTCAGCAGGGTGTGCCACCTGGAGATGCACGCGGCCGTGCACAGTGGGAAATCGTCGTTCGCTTGCGACTTTTGTTGTGAAACGTTCGTGCTCAAGGCCAATCTCCGAAGGCACATTAAGATCCACGTCGGCATGGAGCCGTTCAAGTGCGACGTTTGCTCCGTTGGCTTCTGGAAAGAATCGCTGCTGGAGAAGCATTATTCGAGCCATGGTGGCTAGGACCAAGACTGGACGGGGTTCATCAGGAGCCGAAAAATTCAAGGAAATCTGTGCCGGAAACTGGGGCTCTCTTCTTCTACCGCTTAGAGACCATTACGTTTTCGAATATTTAAGCAATTTTAAGTACCTATTTGTTATTGAGGTTAATCTTTATTGCACTTAACCCGCCATTATTACCCTTTTTAAATGTTTGATTCTTTAAATCATCATCATGAAGTTTTGATTGACAAGATAATGTAAATATCAGGAACGCTTTAAAATTTAAAATTTGAAAACGCGGCAAAGAATCGATTAAAAATCGATTTTCTGAATTGCATAATTTTCCCCAAAAAATTCCTGGGGAAATGAGAGCAAACACAGGTTTCTCTTTTGGATATGAGCACCTGAAAATCAGGGGAAAAACAGCTTTAAGCAGAAAACGAGCTTGATCAAACCAAAGTGGAAATACATCTATGGCTTAAGTGCAAAGCCACGTATCTCCGTTTGTAACGTAGCGGACTTCCCGTCATATTTGATATTTTCTTGGTAATCTAGTTAATGTAATGTCTTGAAACCTTCCTAGATTTTTCTTCTATATTCGCGGAATGTTTAGTATAAATATCAAGTAATGATATTGCATTTTATGCTTCAAAAAAATTAACTAGGAGCGGATATTTTAAAACACCATATTGGAGTTTCATGGTTTTGCACTTCGGCCATCAACATGCATCTCGGTTGCCAAGGCTTCTGGTACAAAAATTAACTTCGTTTGTACGTTAGTAAATTGTCATGCATGAAATACACTTCAGCTAGTATGGGGGAAAAGCCATGCGCAGGATCTTTCCTTCCTTCAAACACACAACTCTGGATTAACCAATTTGATGATCGCTATTTGATACACAAATTGTTCAGGGGCTTCACCAAGCATAGAGTAGAAAATATGTAAAATTGATCAAAACCTAAGAAAGTCAATTGAATAATGATAGTTCAGTATGTGAGTCCGAGCATTTTCACAATAAGCACAAGATCCTATCTGCAGAGGCAGTGGAAATTCGTCAAACTTTCATTCTTCTACGAGCGAAATTAATAAAATATTCTCTTCAATGTCCGTGTGAATTTCTTTTTAGTGCCAGAAACATGCAACGTTCCTCAACCAGCACATCTAAGACATCACCTTTCCTGACTAAACCCGGGAAAAAAATTGCGATCGATAAGTTACCAAAACTGTGTGAATAAAAAATAAAACTTAAAAATAGAGACCATGACCATGCGTACGTATCAATATGTATGTACGTGTACATTTGTTTTTGTGCAATCGTTTCAAAAACTCTTTTGACACCTTCTTGTTATTATCAACCATAGTTTATTATTCTAAATCTTTTCTGTTCTCTCTAACCGAAAAAATCTTTGATTCTACGTTAAAAATATTGCAGGTTTTAATCACTATACAGGGCGATTCAAAAGTTCCGCCTCGCCATCACCAGGCATCACTCCTGTAACTTTGAACCGTTCCAAGATAGAGACAAAGAATTTTGTGAGTGTCCCTAGGTAAAAGGAAATTACTTTTGGCAACCCTNCCCCCCCCCCCCACAAAAAAAAGTCCATGAAGAGGGTCCTAAAAAGGGGCAAGAACCCCAGGGGTTACATACATGGTATGGGAATTTTGGATCACGCTGTAGAAAAGATTGGTTTTAAATAAGCCCAAATGTGAAAGTTTTTTTATATTTTTTGTTTACTGTTCGTTATTTGTTGGTTTCATGACTTTTAGAATTTATTTTTAGAATTTGCCAAATCCACTGTTTCACACTTGGATGAATTGTTATATTTATTGCATTTTGAAATACATTTAATCATTATGAAATCACAAGTTCATCATTATTCCATGTTTTATTTTTGGAAGCCTCCCTCTCGATCAAGAAGTCCCGGGAAAAAAGGGGTTTTGTTTTTTGTTTTTGTTTTTGTTTTTGATTTTTTCATTCAATCGCGTTGGTTGAACTTCACTAAGGAGTTAGGCATCATTGCCAGATAGTTCTGAAAAGCAGCCTTTTAACCCATTGAAACCAATGTAGAATATCAAAAACGCAAAACTTGGCTACCAATGTTGTCAGTTGTTACTGGAAAATGAGCATTCCCCCTTCCCCCTTTACACCAATGTAAAATATCTACATTTTGTCTCAAAACTTAGCGATCTTCGTCGACAGATTGTAGTGAAAAATTTACTTTTTCCCGCATCTTACCCTAAATAAAATATCCATTTTATCGCAAAACCCGGCAAACAGTGTTGCCCGATAGTTCTGAGAAATTGACACTTCTCTCCCATTTCAAGCCGCATAAAATATCCATATTTCATTACACAATCAGACAATCTCGAGGACACGATCCATCCCTAAGAGGCAATGAGCGATTCCTACAAGTTACCAACGCTGGCTTTCTGCTATTTAAACACATTTAAAATAGTGTGCTTACATTATTTAATAATTTTTTTTTAACAACAACCACCGAACCTATATGGATAGCTGAGGATCAATACCACCGATCTGCAAACTGACGATTTTGCAGGACAAAGAAAAAACTGCGCCATTTTTATGACGTCGAGATTAGATTTGCAATCGTATATGTAAGTACAAGGTGATTCAAAAGTCTCTACCGCCCCCTTTAACTTTGGGCGTCCTCTGCCGTGCTAAGGAAGAACGCTGCATGTGCCTTAAACGTTGCCAAATAGCCTTTAACAAATCACGAATTTTCGGGAATATTTCTAAATATTTTTCCTCCGAGTTTTCAGTGAATTGTGATCTTAATTTGATCGGAAATTTCTAAAAATATCAAGGAAAAATATTCATATTTTTCTTCAAAAATTAATACTCTCTGAGAGGGAATATGCAAATGCGGCAAAATTCGAATTTTCATACGGCGTTTTTCCTAAGCAGGTGCTTTAATGTATGAGACAGAAATCGTAGTTCCTCCTTGCAAAATGCAATCCAAATACTCATTTCTGAGGAATCGTAGGAATCTCTGAAAATTATAAGAAAATACCGCACGTAACAGGATAATAGAATACTAGGGGGCTATGCCCCCTGGCCGCTACGCGGCTCAACCCCCATAGGGAGCTTTGCCCTCTCTTAGGCTCGCTTTGGCAAAAGAACGACCAAAAAGAATGAAGAGATTTGTCTCATTTGTCCAGTTTCTCTTTGGCCGGGAGCGATTGGACCAATAAGAATCGAATGAAAAAATCGGCATTTCTTTCAAACTTCACGCTGAGACTGAAACGAAACGGAACGAACGGAATGGAGCGTTTCGTTACTTTTGGATAGTCTGTAGTAAAGGAGCACACCTTCGATTCACTTACCTTACTCTAACACACCAAGATTCAACATTTCCCGCTTACTTCAATTTACCGCAAAATTTGGAATTCCCGTCTTTTTTTAATGGCGGGAATTTCAAATTTTGTCCCCTTTCCAAGCTCCCAGATATACTCTATTATAAAAAAATCTGGGTCATATTTCTAAAATCTGATTGCAGCAAGCTCATCTAAAGACTATCATCTGTCGAAAACCGCAAAAATTATGGAAATCGGCCCAGTAGAACGCTCAAACAAACTATGACAAAAAATAAAAATTCACATTGTGTAAATGGGAGAATTCGAAACTTTACCACGTAATATAAAAAAACCTGGGTCATATTTTGAACATCTGAATTAAGCGGACTCCGCTGGGCGTGTCGATTTCCTTTGACATTTTTGCGCTGGTGAATGCAAAGCTGAAGTGCGCTCCAGCTAGAATTGTATTTAGCAAGTGGGTGATTTTTCTACGAGGATTGAAAGTAAACGAGTGGTACGGAATATAACTGAAAAGTATGAACTATGGAAAACGATAATCTTGGTATCGGAACTCGGCTGATTTGAAAACGCCTTCCAATGCGGCGTGATACCTCACGCATTCCGGAGAGTTCAAATAGTTGTATCATTGCGCCTTAGAAATGCGACGGAAGATCCCAATTGAAATAGCCTTCATGCACGCTGGCCTTTCCGATTTCCGTTAACATTTTTGCAGTCATGAATGCGCTTAGCTGCGCTTCAGCTAGAATTGTATTTAGCAAATGGGTGGTTTTTATAGGAGGATTATACTTAAACAAGTGGTTAGCAATGGAAACAAAATACTATGAACTATGCAAAACGATAATCCGGGTATCGGAACTAAGCTGTTTTGAAAACGCCTTCAAATGCGGCGTGATACCTCACGCATTCCGGAAAGTTCAAATAGTCGTATCATTGCGCCGTAAGAATTTGACGGAAGATTTAAATGGAAATAGCCTGCATACGACATTCTTTTCAGATTTTTATAACATGCCTTATATTTTATTTATTTTTCCTAGACTCGACTTTAATGTGTAATCGTATTTTTGTTTGCAGGTACTTAAATGTCCGGGTGTTAACGTGATTTGAAAGATGGACAAGCCTAGGGGATGCTCTGTCAGCGAGCCTTACAGGGTTGTCGAGGATGGAGTCAAAATAAAAAATGAAGTGCTCTATGCTAGTGAAAATGGAGTTCCGCTGAAGCATTCCGAAATTATCGAACAAAAGCCCTTTTCTTCAATCCAATCCGCCGACTCTACCCTGATGAAGGTTGTAAAACGCGAGGACCGTCCGTTGTCACCCAATGAACATGACGTGAAAGAAAATCTCCCCACAAATGTCATTTTCAATTTGGTACCTAAAATAAAGAAAGGAGAAAAAGAAGAATTTGTTGGAGATGATCTGCTCAATACCTTACACACTTGTATCGAAATCAAGAACGAGATACCTTCGCAGTCCTTGGATTCAGAGAGGGTTGAAAAAGGGAACAATCTCCATCCTTTGATGAGGAGTTCCTCGACCCAACCCCATGGCGCTGTACCATCGTTTGAAGATGGAGACGCCACCACATCCAGAATGACCATCCAACCTGCCGACACTCATGAACAGGAACACTTTCCGTATTGGCATCAAACGGAAACGCGTAACCTTCACGTTAACCCGCGTGAAGTTGGAGGCGCTAACACATCCAGAATGACCTTCCAACCTGCCGACACTCATGAACAGGAACACTTTCCGTATTGGCATCAAACGGAAACGCGTAACCTTCACGTTAACCCGCGTGAAGTTGGAGGCGCTAACACATCCAGAATGACCTTCCAACCTGCCGGCAGTTATGAACAGGAACACTTTCCGTATTGGCATCAAACGGAGACGCGCAACCTTCACGTTAACCCGCGTGAAGTTGGAGGCGCCAACACATCCAGAATGACCATTCAACCTGCCAGCAATCATGAAGAGGAATTCTTTTCAAATCCACATCAAATGAAAACGCGTGACACCCACGCTAACCCGGAGGTGGCTTTCCCATACAACGTTCCCCGACTTGATAAAGCTCAAACTTTCAACGTTCCTGCCTCTTGCTCGATATCTAGGACAGGAATACAGGATACTTTCCCTTTTAGAGGTCATGTTCAGCCCCAGCTTTTTGCGCTGACTCATTTGTTACACAGACTGAACGACCAGCCCCAACCACAGCTGATACGCCACCCCTTCCCGGGATCTCAGGGCTTCGTGCATCAAAACGGACGCAATAATCAAATAGAAATCCCCCTTACACCTTCAAGTACGTATCACTTTGAACCTCGTCAAACACCGTTCAATATGAACATCAATCAGGAAAATTTAGCGTCGGTAAGAAACGACGCGAATTATTTTAGGCACGCCCGTCAAATTCATTTTCCTGCAGGGCAAAGACAAAATCATGAATTTCATGTTGATTTACGTAGCAGTGGCAGAGCGTGTGAATGCTATCAGTGCCGGAGTATGAATCAAAGGAACGGCTCACTTCCACTCGGCTTTGCCCCTCGTCAAATGCCGTTGTATAATGATCACAGGGAGAAAAATATACCAACGCAAGTTTTCGCAGTAAACAGCGAAAACAATTCTAGCTCTGCGCAGTCCAGCGTCACACCAGGAGACCAGAGCTGCAGTGATAGTGGTGGAAGGCCGTTCAGCTGCACTTTTTGCGCTGACTCGTTTGTTACACAGACTGAATTAAAAATACATATGAGAAGGAATAGCGGTAAAGTGTACGGCTGCCATTATCTTTGTGTCCACTCGTTCAGTAATCCATGTAAATTGCAAAAACACATGAGAGTGCATACGGGTGGAAAACCATTCCGTTGCCAGCAGTGTCCCGCATCTTTCCAAGGAGAATGGAATCTCAAAAGTCATATGTTAGCCCGTCATAGCGATGAAAACCCATTCCGTTGCCCGCAATGTTCCTCGTCATTCACCTGTAAAAGTTCCTTGACGTTCCACTTGAAGAAGCATTCGGGTGAGAGACCCTTCCCTTGCGATCAGTGCGATGCATCCTTTCAAGCCAAAAACTGTTTAATGAGACACAAGACAGTGCATAGCAGAGAAAGACCATTCGTATGCGAGCAGTGCGGTAGTGCTTTCGCCAGGAAAAACGGTCTTACGAAGCACTTGGTAGTCCATACTAACGAAAGACCTTACAGGTGTGAACATTGCGACAAGTCTTTCAAAGCGCGGGTGACTCTAAGGGAACACATGAGAGCGCACAATGGTGAAAAACCGTTCATTTGCGCGCACTGCTCAGCTGCATTTCCCGTCAAAGGCGAGCTCTATCGGCACATGATGATACACACCGGCGTGAAACCGTACAAATGCAAGTATTGTCCCTTCGCGTGTAATCAGGGGAACAGTTTGAAGAGACATTTGAGAACGCACACCGGCGAGAAACCGTTCACCTGCGATCATTGTTCGGTTTCGTTCACTCAGAAAGGGAGTTTGATCTCGCACCTAAAACAGCACTCTGATGGAAATCCGTACAGATGCGATCATTGCTCTGTTTCTTTTAGGCGGAAGAGCCGCTTAGCTCAGCACATGAAGATTCACTCCTGCGAAACGCCTTTTTCTTGCGAGCAATGTCCTTTCGCGACCAATCAGAAGAGCAGCTTCACCAAGCACATGAAATTGCATTTAGGCGACCAAGTCTTCACCTGCGACCACTGCTCGGCTGCGTTCGCCAGGAAACGGAGGTTGATCTCTCACTTGAAACGGCACGATCGTGTAAACCGACTAGTTATGGAGGAGACTGCTCCGGCTATTCCAGTGCAAGGACAACGAAATAAAAGTAATTAGAATGAGCTTTGAAGCTTAGTTAACGGGAATACCCAAGGGGATGGAACGAAACTCTTGATGAAGGTACGTAAATGAATACATCCCTGGGGATCAGGGGAATATGACAGTTAAAAAAATGAAGAGTTTTTGTAACTATGAATAAAATAAGATGAATATATTACTCTGAATCCACACAGTCCCATTTAAACCCCTAGATAATAATAGCCGTACCGAATAATGCTCGATTTTCATCATTTGGAGTTGGACTACACTATGTAATTAGGTACTTTTCTGTCTCAGTTTCAAAAAACGTATGTACTTAACCCTAGTGTTCCTATGCCTATAAGTGTTTATACGGATGAACTAGAAATTGTAATTCCCAATTGGAAAATGGAGTCCATTTGGTAAAATCTGTGTGAAATAGGACTACATTTTTCAATGAGGAACTACAATTTCCGGGTTAGATTAAAAACAACCCTACTGAAATTTGTGTTTCACGGATGAGCCAAGAATTCTAGTTCCTTTCTCCAAAATTTAGTTCAACTGGACGGATTTTAACAGAAAGGATTTAAATCCAATCAAACACGAGCTCTTACATCCATGAGAAAACATGCATGGAGTAGTGTAGTCCAACACTACATATTTTTAGTATTTAATTTTGTTTGTATGTGCCTCGGATTGTTTATAGTTCATTTGTCTGTCACTACATTTTTAGATTGTTTTATAGTTTTAGGAATGATCAATAATCATTACTTTCCCACCGCATACTCAAAGCACCATTCTGAAACCTTAAGGGTTTCGCTGAAGTCAAATGAATCGCATGGTGTTTTCATCCATAATTGATCTCAGTGATATTTAAGATAAAGAGATTTAAGACTGAGTATGATTATTCAATCAAATTGTTTAATTATAATTGTAACAAAAATCGTTTGTCTTTGCAATTGCATGTAATTTTACTTTCCTTCGTGATACAATACTTAGTTCCTACAAAACGAAGTAAAAAAATAGTGCATTTCCTTCGGTAAATACACTAAAATACGCGCACGGGTAAAGCAGCTTTATTTTAAATATTAATTATGTTCCACTTTTTTTCATAAATCCTTCTCCAGAAAAGAAATCTGAGTAAGAACTCGCACAGCCGGTTATTCCTCAGTGATCATTCAAAGGGTTGCGCTGGGACCCAATGAATCATGTTACCCGAATCTATCGTTGATCTTCAATCGAGATGAAGCGTGATTTTGTTTCAGTCAAATTAGTGCCTTTTTAATCATAACAACTTTTATCATTCACCTTTGTGTTTACGTGTTTGTAATTTTTTGTTTCTTTGTAACAATTAATAGTTCCTAAAAATAATGAATGAATAAAATATGAGCTTTTTTTCAAATATTCTGCTTATGTTTTTTTTCTTCAAAAGTCCGTCTCTTGACTTCCACCTGCCCCCCTAGCGACCCCAAAAATTTTTATGGAGGTCTGAAAATTTGGGAAAAGAAGCGCTCAAGTATAAGTAATCAATAGACAAAGTTTGAAGAAATTCCAGGCTTTTCTTGCATCAAGCTCCTCATCGATGGCGATACCAGAGCACGTATCTCGGTTTGCGACGTCACAGACTTCCTGTGACACTTTATTTACTCGAAGTTAATTCAGTGAAAACTTCAAGGAATGAATCTCTAAACTGAAAGCGGAGATTTTTAAACACCTCAAACAAGATACGTGGTCTAGAAGTTTCACCGTCGTTGTGCCAAAACTAAGTCAAATACGCACATCACAAAAGACGAGTCGTAACTGTTGTGATAACGAATCATTTTGGATAGTTTGAGTTCATAGGTTGGCTGCCCATTTGGGCCCTAAAAGCTGACCTACCCTTCTATATTACTGACTTGTCCGTGAGCAACTTTTCCCATGTAAGTACTCTACCCATAGATGAAATGGACCATATTTTGCAATAAGGAACCACTATTACTGGCTCATTTTAGAAACGTCATATGTTTCATTGGTTTCCCTATGCAGGAAGGTGCTCTCATGGAAGAGCCAGACATTGTGGTTCCTTATTGCAAAATGTGGTCCAAATGTCCGCATCGAATAGAGAAAGTGCGTGACCGCCACATTTTCCCGCGTTGTTTTTGAGCGAATCAGACATCCGGCGACCACTTTTTCCATTTTTTTGTAGAAAATAATATGCGAAATCGAACCCATGAATTTTTTCAAATCGGGGAAAATCTTTCGGCAATATTATGATCACGACTGACTTCTCGAGAATTTGGCGTTTCTATTGATGTATAATACGTTCCACTTTTGCAAAATATACACCGAAGATCCCGAGTTTTGCAATTTCAATTTTCTTCAATTCGAGTCGATGTCATTCGACTGTCCCGTCAGGTCAGGGTCAAAACCATTGACCCGAGTGGAAGGAAATTAAACTTTCAAAAATCAAGATTTTCCATATTTTTTGGAGGGAAAGGAACGCATTGAACACACAGAACCTCGAAATTCTAAAGAAGTTACACTGGAAAAAAAAGTCGCTTGGATTAAACTCTTGAAAACACTGACAAGAAAAAGTACTCCTGATCCAATCGGATTTTTGCTTGAATCAAAAGGAAATCCGCTTAAATTAAGAAGCTTGGCTCTCGATTTAAGCAAAAATCCGATTGAATCAAGAGTATTAGTTTTTGTCAATGTTTTCAAGAGTCTGGACTCTGGTCCAAGCGACTTTTTTTTCCAGTGTAGTCGTGAACGGGCGAGGGATTTGAGAATAAATGATTTGTAGCCATAGAACTTTTCCCGACAAAAACGATGGTAACGTCAAAAAAGTCAAAAATCGAGCCCTAAAGCCCGGAAAAGCTTGCCAAAGCTCCATCACATTCAAGTAGATTATAAAAAATTTTCTCACACCCTGTTTTCTCTCTAACTCTACCCAAAAGCTGCCGTAATGGGTGCGACAGGGCGCACAATGGATCGAGTTAATAGGAGAGGTCGGACAAAATTTAGAAACCTTAAATGCTTATAACTCCGTCAATACGAAACTTTGAAGTTCTGAAAGTGGTCCCTCTGGTATTTCGTGAAATGTTCTCCCAGAGGTACCCCCAAATATTTTAAATGTGACGAAACGAGTATGAAAATTTGCATTTTTAGTAAAACAACTTCTTGTCCGACCTCCGTAATTGATTCGACCCACTGTCTGACGGTGTGGACCTTTCTGGCGCCTTTTGACGAGCTTTCGCCCTCGCCGCAGCAGCTGCTCGCGGCGCGGCTCGGACGGGGAGAAGTGGTCCTCCTCCAGGTGACGGAATACCTGCACACAGCGCTATGCACGAGTGTCATTCATATTGAAATGCGATTACGGGAAGGGGGGGGGGGCTTTCGAGTTCAGCCCCGGCCTAATTAAGTGCTCCCGACCCCTCTTTCCCGCCCAAGGGTGGCATCGTTCAGCGTTGCCGCTTTATCCGCTCAAAGTAGCTCTATGGGGAGAGTCCGGACGCGTCGCTGATTTTGAGGTTAGTTCATGGACAACGATCTAGAACTAAAGATGGGGGATCCCAAAGACATAAAGACGGAGCGCTAAAAGCAAGAAATGAAGCTACTTTTCAACCACCTCTACTATTAGCCAGAGGGTTGGCGGCGAAATCGGGGCAAATTTGAAATTTAAATGTAGGGCGGGAACTGAATAAAATTGCGTAAACAAAGTACCTATGCTAGGTTGACTTTTGCCCAAATTCGCTTACCCACTTATATTTTTTTAACTTTAAGTTATTTTTGGTCCGTCATCGACCGATTAATTTCATTTGGGAGTAACGGTCATCTAGGACTGGAACGGCCTCTTTGAACCGGCGGCAGGACCACCATGAGCAGAAGAAAAACTAACTTGAGATCCTTGCTTGTTACCGAGTGAAATAGGTGTATTTTATCGAGTCATCGTCCCAACTTTTTTTTTCGCAGGTTTAATGGCTTACACCTCTTTTCAGAGGTCTACAGCCAACTATAGAGAGAGATTTAATGCCCGTAGACAACAGGGCGATAGGGACATCCATGCTCCGGCTTCCAAATTTTCAGGGATTAAGGCCAAGTAGAATCTGTTTCTGCAGATCCTCATCACGTCAGTTCCGTGAAAATTTGTCGTCACCACCGGGATTCGAACCCGGGACCTATTGGTCTAGAGTCAGACGTGCTGACCGCTAGGCCAACCTGGCCAGCTAAACTTTCTTAATATATTCGTTTTAGGCATTTAAAACATGTTGAGAAGAAGGAATGTCGATTGAAATTGATTTTTACGCCGCGCATTATATTCTTTTGCGCGAATCCCTCTCGTAAAACTGGATCTTTGTCAAAACAACGGTTGTGCTATTAGTTCCCGTATGCAGGTACGCGCTCCTGTGGATGAGCCTGTGATTGTAGCTCCCTATTGCGTGATTTAGTCTAGATGTGGCAACGTAGGATACAATTGATTCTGGATTTCTTTCATTGTCACCCCTACCATTCCCCTATTTTCGTCCCCATTGTTTTTTTTGTTTTTCCCCCCATTGCAATGTTTATTTTTTGCTTTGCCTTACACGCGTCCAGCCATGCACCTACCTGAGTGACATCACGCCGCTGTAGTTTTAAATTTATGGATTTATTCCAATTATTTTTTTATGCAAATTGCGTCCAACTACGTAATTTGAGTGAAGGAGGTGTATCGATTAAGGCCGTTTTGTGCCCTCCCTGAATTTCTTCAACTCCACGACTTTTTGCCCATTGAAAGTGTATAATTTATGGAATGCATCACGATTTGGTCGGTTTCGGTCTCTGTATAAGCCCTTTATGCCTACATAGACCTGAAGACCGATTTTGGCGAATAATGCGTGCGGGCTTGCAGTTGAATACCGGAAAAATACGCATTTTTCGCTAAAGTCGGCCTTTAGATCCACGTTTAGGCCTAAAGGACCCCAAAACAGACCGAAAATGACCGAATCGTGACGCACTCCGTAGGGTAGATAGACTCATGGTGAGCTATAAATTGAAGAATTGAGGAAATTCAGGGTGGGAAAACGGACTTTATCAATACTCCTCCTTTCATGGCGGTACAAGCAAATAAACCCTCATTTTTTCACGCGTCATCTGCATGCTACGTCCGCAATTTTTTTTATCCCAATAGCTCTATAGATGGCCGAACCAATCAGATTTGGATCCTCTGTGAGGGTAATCTGCCGTGCTAAAAAAAAAAAAAAAATAAACGCCGTATGAGCCTCCAGACGTTGCCGTATCACTTTCAATGAAAAACAAATTTATTGGGAAAATTATGAATATTTTTCTTCAAATTTTTTAGACAATTTTGTTTGGTATTCGATGTAAAATATCTAAAAATTTCAAGATCAACTCTCTTCAACAGTGCATGTTTTATCCGGTGAAATTTGGCAACTCTCGAATGCTCATACGGCGTTCCTTTTTAGCGCGGCAGTAATACACTCCAGCACAGGCATGACGACAACACGGCCAGAACTGCCGTGTTCAGGAAAAACGCCGCGCCGAATGAACCATCAGACGTTGCCAAGTTTTATTCAATAAAAAGCGACTTAATTAGGAAAATCGTGAATATTTTTCCCCAATATTTTCAGACAATTTCATACGCAATTCAATCTAAAATATCTGAAAATTTCAAGGGAAAATATGCGTGAATGTCGTCCCAAATACATGTTTTATCGAGGGAATTTTGGCAACTCCCGAATGTTCATACGGCGTTCTTTCGTAGCACGGCAGAGAATTGCACGAGCCTTGCACGGCCGGTTCTGTGGCCGAGGTTTCTATGGCTCACGTTTCGTCATGCTACTTGCTCGCTACCTCCACCGCGCATCAAGGGGTTGATCTTGTTCTGCAACCCCCCCCCCTCCCCCGGCCATCACCGCCCTCACACACGTGGGAATGGAGCGCGGATGAGGGATGGAGGAGGGGGGTGCGATCAGCTGGGACTCGGCCCACACCTCCGCGACGGAATTTCCTTTGTTCCCGGACCCGGAGCTCCGCTGTTTTTAACACTGTCCTTTGTTCACATCTTTTTCTCCTTTTTGTTTTGCTCCGTCTTTCTTAGGTTTTTTTTATTTTTTACTTTTATCTATTATTTTATTTACGTGCACGGAGTTTACAACTCAGAACCTGCCCAAGAGAGGGTGCAGGCACAGGCCAGAGGGTCTAAACGTTAATTCCAACTTAAGAGACTTAATTTCATAGTTGGACTACAGTCTGTGATCAGGAATTGTTATTTGTGCCTCTTTCATAAAAGCACTCATCCGCTTAGAGAGATAAATCACATAGTTGCATTTAAAGTTAGTCAAAAATAGTCGTTCTTACTGCGGAATGTAGTCCAATTCTCGCACGTTGACAACAGTTAGCTTCGCTCAGTCTGACTTATTTTTGCA